TTCCAAAAAATGACTAATTGCCTGATGCATTCTCCAGTTCTAGAATTTGAGAAGGCATACACAGTTCCTTCTCAACGCAAACCTGGAAAAAACAGACAAATTTACAGCTGCTACTGGAATACATGGATGAAGAAGAAAAGACAGGAACTATAATTATAAATTAATGAGAAAAAAAGAAAAAGAAAAAGGACATGTTATCAACGCCTCTTACAATTCACAAACTGACATATTATCAACATTATACTGGACCACATCTTACGTCTGAAAAGTAATAATATTGGGGTAGCAGGTATATGAAAGAATACAAAGGGCTACTAATAGACAGAAAAAAGAAAATTTCTTTTTTTTTCCCTCTTCATTTTTTCCAATTACATCTCTCTTCTCTTCAACGATTAAGCCACAAAAAATAGGAAAACCATGAGGAAAAATATTAGTACAAAGAAAATTTTGATCATCAACCACCTATTAGATGATATACTGTTTAGATACTTGAGCAGAGCACCCTGTGCCCCCTCCACATTTGCCAAAGTATCATCCATGTTCTCGTCGATCCTGCAACAAAACTGACCCGAATTAACTTTTGAACTGTAAGCTAATCAGACACTTAAGGAATACACAAACGTATATTCTTTAGAACTCATGGACACACGGTAGTACAACCTATAGAGCATATCCTGTTCAAGGACATCATTCCACAAATGTATATTCGATGGGCTACTATACTTTTTAACTGTGAGAAGTCTCATGGTTAACAAAACGCATCTCTTTTTCTTTTTAACAAAGACTACCAAATCAGTCATCACAGAAATATATACAAGTTCTCTAGACTGACCTACTTCCAGTTTTGAAAATCACAGAGAAAAATGACCGATAAGAGAGAGAGAGCCATAGCAAGGATATCCAAAATATCCATCTCAATTCTCCACATCAAGATACAAAGGTAAATACTTTCTTTTCACGAGTCTGTTTCTCCCCTTTTATTATCTAAGCACAAGAAGATTCTAGAAGTTTAAAATTCCTTCTCTTCTATACATTTACTGAAAATGTAAATACACCAAGCGTTATAGCTTCGGATAGGCTACTCTTTTGTATACTTTATCGGAAAAAAGTACTAAAAAAACCAACAGCAGCAACAACCAACAATTTAGCTTGGAGATCTTCTGCTTGCTCCCACTTTTAGGCTTAGGGATTCCTCATCCCTCATGCCTATAGGTTGTTACTTAGTTTGAGTCCTTTTTTCATTGATATCTCTCATTTCTTATAAAAGGAAAAACACGCGCGCAACGAAAAAGGGAAATTTTAACCCCAGTGAATTAATAACTGAAGTGATATCTCAGTAGCCAATTTTATATTAGAAGCACAGTGAGGGGAAAACCCCCTTCAAAAAGAAAACATAATCAGATGGAAACCGACTCCCATTGCAACTTTGTTAACTACATGATTAAATATGAATCACTATAATACTGATAAAACGAATGGTCAAAAAGCCCAATACATCTAAAAACTTTGACAGGTATATTACTTATCCAGTTTTAATAAAGACTATATTTAGATCTATTCAGTCTTGTGTAGCGGATCAAACTTTTTAAGGTTCAAGATCAACTTGCATGTAATGGATACTGAACCATTTACATGGGTTAAAATCTTTGACACTAGTTCCATGCTTTGTTTATAACATAAAAAGGAATCATATGATCAGCAATTCAGAAATAGGTGCATGAGGGTAGAACCTGATAGCAATCTCTCCTTGTTCAGAAACCAGAGTTGCCAGCTGGTTGAAGATATTGCTCAATTCATGAATGGTGGATTCTACGTTTTGAAGAGCTTCAGCTCTGCTCTGCATGTAAGTATCTTGTAAAGGAACCATCTGTTGCTGTTGATGTTGCTGCTGCTGCTGCAACAGTGGTTGACTCTCCCCATCCACCTGCTTACTGTAAATTTACAAGCAACATAATTTCACCACATAATGATAGTTTAATTAAGTTTGACAGGAAAGTAAAAACAGCATGAGCAAAGAAAACGATTGCAAGAAAAGAAGAAGAAATAGAGCACAACTATGAAGTTGAGAAATTCTTTAAATAGGAAACGTGTGAACTTCCACTATAAACATGTACAGCAGATAAGGCAATTGGCATTAATCACAAATTTAAAAAACCTTGCCTTGAAAATAATAATTTCAGTCAAATACTGAACCAAAGAAAGTGAATGAGATAAATGGCCATTTCGGAAAAGGTAATTATACAAGTACAGCAGTTCTTATAAAAAGATACCAATAAATTTAATCTGGGATTCAATGTTGCTGTCCTGGTAATATAAGAGACTTCATACATCTAATGTTCAGTTTATCCTTTGAGAGATAAAGCTAAATTTAGAGACTTAAGGTAACTAGGCCATGCTCAGATAAATATGGTGAGAAAGTAGTGGGAGAATTGTTCGAGAAATATGGTTACTGGGTAGAAAAGAATAGGAAATTGTTGTGGGGTGTGGTGTGCTTTATTGCCTCTGCTCAAATCTCGAGTTCACTATAGCTAGGTATTTTTCAATTTTCATTACTCTTCTTTGATTATCTATGCTAATTAAAAACCTTTTTTTAATGTTCAACGGCCTTTGGTTAGGAGGGACATCATATCTTTCCTTCAGGCTTCTGTAACCATTTCTCCTTAATGATAGGAGACTAAATTTCTAAGATTAAATTAAACCATATGAAAAGAGATTAAAAGAATATGTAATTACAAATTACAATTAATGAAATGCACAATCATCTTATAAAATTTTCTCCTCAAGTCTTTTGGTTCATTCAATCGTTTTGGCAGCAGAAATACCCATGCAGCATCCACAAAAGCGACTTATCTTTATCTTGTGAGAGAGAGAGAGTTGAAAGGTCATGTTCATGAGCCACTTTGGTGGACATGTAAATTTTGTTCATATTTAAAAACTGCAAGCTGTTGATGGTACGCATTTGCAAGCACCTTAAACCACAAGAATATATTTCAAATTTATCCCTCTATCATCTAAAACATATCAAAGGAGAATACGACTACCATAAAAAAGAAAGTTTGTGTGACATATCAACTGGAACAATTAAAAAGTTCTCACCTGGGAGATGTTTTGGAAAAAGATGTTGATGCCTTGGCCCATGGGGGAGGGGGTGCGGCACTTGGGGCACCAGCAGCTGACCTGGAAGCTAATGGGCGTTGACGCACAAAAGGATTTGTAGATTCCTTTGAAGCAGTAGAAGAAAATAGTTGTCTTCTGTTCTCATGAACCTTCAAATTCTTCATTAAACCAACAAATAACATAAGCATTGAAGAAAAATATGAAGCTAGAATAAGTTATCTGGGGGTAGATAAAAGCCAATAAAGAAAAAACGACGCAGTGCAACATTTGGACTTACTTCTGTTCGCATGGTTAGGACTTCTTTAAATTCTTTTGTGGTGCTCATCAGTCGATTCTTAAGGTCATCTACCACAGTGGTTGAGTGACTAGTAGTATCACTAGATATGTTTCCACTTTCATTCCTAGAGTTGCAGAGAAGCTGAAGATCTACAACTGCGGAGTTCAATGTTGTGATGTCCTGCTTAATAAGTGCAGTTAGCTCCTGAATTTCCATTGTTGGGTCATCAAAAACTGAAGTCCTCTTTGCCACTGGAAATCATGATGCGAACATCAAGGTTCAATCAGAAAATTTGAAAAATTTTACTGTCAGGCTTTACGCATTATCTTTAATAAACTTTACTTTTCATATGAAACATCGGGCATCCTCCTCCTTCACATGCATTAAGCTCAATAAATAACAAACAACAAAACAAATCCACATGAAACAGAGAAATGTATTTTGCGGACCATAATAAATTCAACTGCCTGAGTTTAACGTCTCAATAGCACTGAACCACAGGACCAGTTTTTTCAGTGTTAAGACATATCTCTTTTGGATAATTACATGGCATCTCAAGGAAATGTTAAAGACCTGCTTGGATGGTAAGAAACACCTAAAATTACCTACTTGAAAATCTAACCATAGTACAATGCATACCAAAATCTACCAATTTTTTTTTTGTCTGAATAAGGTCCCCACATTAGGGGAATTTAACAATGAAATGTTTAAATTCAAAAACTAAGGAATATGACTAATGAGTTAATATGACATGCTTAAACGATTATATTTACTGAAAATGGCGTCTGGTCTGAACTATATAATACAAGATTGCGCAGCTGCACCAGAATACTTTCAATTTAACTACGTCTTTCAATTTAACTACGTACACTTCGCCAACTTTGAGAGTTTCTGAGACGTCTGGTGTATCCCTAACCCAATCTTGGAAGCCCTCTTATTAAATTCAGATTGAATTGCCACAGCAGACCGCTGCTCTTCCGATTTCGAACCACCACTTGCTCCAGTTGTTCCTGTGGCAGATGGGAAAGACTTCTTTAGCCTCTCTGTTATGTTCTGGAATTCCTGTGTCCGATCTCTAAATGATTGTGCTGTTTTGACAGCCATCTTCAACGCCGCAACCTCAAACTCTACAACAACACCATGAAAAGCAATCGCATCAATGGACTTGGATTATCGAACATCCAGACTATTGGTGGCTGAAACTCCTAGGGAACTAGAATAAAACCTTAGCTAGACCACGAGACTTTCAGTTACCATAAAATTTTCTTGATTTTCATAATGTGAATCCATATTAGTCGAGAAAATCAGATCGCCTCTTTTTATAAACGTACAGTATTCGCATTCGAACAGAAAGAAATAAAATAATTCGAAGAAACTGTATTCAAAGCGAAATATCATTGTCCAATCAGTCTAGAAAAAATGTCGGAACAAATCAACCCAAGTATTCGAACCACAATTTACCCCTAGAAATACCAAGACACCGTCAACTACAAGTATCTGAACCAAACATTTCTTCCTTATACCTAAAATTGCAAATACACAACGAAAAAAAAACAGCAGAACGAACAATGAAATTACCTCCACAGACGCAAGATCCGAATCCCTCGAGCCTGAAAAATAAATTCTAGCGAAGAAATAAACGGTAGAACGCGCCAATTTCAGACAGAAATCAAAGTAAAACCCTAGATCTGGATCCAAATCGCCATGCACACCAAATGGCCAGAAACGCGTCCAGTATCCCGACGACGAACTTAATCCGGCAAATAAGAAACAAATTGCAGATCAAAAGGAGAGAGATTGATTAAGCCCGATCGGAGATTGAATCCGAGAGGGAATCTGGGGAAAGAAAAAATAAATATGGCGGTAACGGACCGAGTCAAGTAAGCTGAGAAGAGGCGCTGAACAGAAAAATTGGAGAAAATTACCGGATACTGTTACTAATCTTCCCAACGAGTTAAGAAAGTATTTTTTTTTCCTCTCTTTTCCTTTAAAAAAAAAAAAGTCTTTTTTCTAAATTATAATTTACCCGACAACGAAACTGAATCGTGGATGCAAATGTAATGAGCAAATTTTACGAGGGATTATTGAATTCACGAGGTTCAAATATAATATTAAAAAGTTTCTAAATTATGTTATTTTTTCAAACTTGAATATAACTCAATAAAATATATGACTGAGTAGTTTCAAATCTTTATTTTCTTAAGAAAGGAAAAATCGAGTATTCAAACTTCCAATCTTAAAAGGGATATATTTGATCAATTGAGTTAGGGTGATCATACATTATGTATGATAAATTTTATATTTTTAATTTAAATGAATTGCCAATTTAAACATAGTTCAACGTAGTTAAACCACCTCTCTTAAAAGATCGTGAGTTTGAATTTTTACCTCAAAATACTGTACTTTAAAAAAAAATTAAATGAGCCAATTTTGTAAGATTTTACCATTTATGATATTTTTCGTAAATATTTATAGTAAAAAGGCTCTACTTACAAGACAATTTTGCTTCATATTCGGGCAGAGGCAGGCCCATATAAGCGTACACATGATGAAAGGCCCATGTTTCCCTATAAATTCCTCAATGAAAACGGGCTTTCAATTGGGCTGCAGTGTGCAGTGCTCCGCTCTTCTCGGCCCACGATGCTCGGCTTGACACGTCATGTAACCTACCAATGTTCAAGTGGTAAATTATTAAAGGGTAAAATATTATCACAAGCTCTTTTTTCTTTTTTTGGCCGGTTTGAGCTTTAACTCGATCTAATGTATTAAAAAAAATTTAAAATCATAAATTTAAATCTCCACTCACGAAATGTGAAAAAGTAAAATAAATATAGATTTGTAAAACATATTTTCAAACAATTATAATGATAATATATTTTATTTTATCATACACCGTCAAACAATCTTATTCTCTTAATTTACCTCTTTTAAGTCTAGACAATAAACTAAAGAATTTTTTCTAAAAAATAAAAGACTTTATCTCAATGACAATTTCTAATAAAATAAGAATAAGTGCAATMTTCATTTCGTGATCTATACCTAAGAATAAAATGATGGCTCCTAATTTACCTCTTAAGTTTAGACAATAAACTAAAGAATTTTTTCTAAAAAATAAAGACTTTATCTCAATGACCATTTCTAATCAAATAAGAATAAGTGCAATCTTCCTTTCGTGATCTATACCTAAGAATAAAATGATGTTCCATCAACGTTTATGCTATAAAATAAATACGTATGGTCAAATATAATAAAATGTTTTAAATATTAAAAAAAACAGTACAATTGAAATCAAACCCAAATTCGAATGCCAATATCAGAGTAATTAATACCTTTCATTGAACTCAGTTATGAGTTTCAATCTAGAAAGTAAAATAAATTTAGAAAGAGTTGAAGACTAAAAATTTAGAGAGATATTACAAAAATGTTAGATAGAAAAAATAGAGAGAACAAACAAAATTAAAGATAAATAAAGTTAGAGAGAGACAAAAATTGTAGGAAGGAAAAGAAACTAATTTATTATTAATTTTTTTTACCAAAAATTACTTGGTGAATCACTCTTAAGGGTGTGTTTGGGAGTTATTTTGGTATGACCAAAATCACTTTTGATATTGTCAAAATCACTACAATTTTCATTATCATGTTTGTCAAATTAGAAAATTGATTTTAGAAAAACTTAAAACCACCATGGATTGATTTTTAAGATAAGAATTACAGGGTGATTTTGGAAAATAAATTACACTAAAATATCTTTTCTCAAAATCATTAATTATACCGTCATTTTCAAACACACCCTAAGTAATTGATTGAGAATCACTTAAATTCATTTTTAATTTTTTTTCAAAATTATTGAAAAATCATTATCAAACATGTATATTTTAGAATTTAAGTGATTTTGACATTAATAAAAGTAAATTTTAGTCGGGCTAAAATCACTTCCGCACCTGCCTAAAAAATAAAGTTAAAATCACTCCCACTCAAGACAAATGGAAAAATCACAAAAGTAAAGGGTTGCAATTAAGAGACCATGGACTCCTCCAAACACTTGGGTTTATACTTCTGAAATGTCTTTTCCATCATGCAAAATTCAAACACCTCTCCCACTCAGCAAAAATACCTCCACCACACATAAGAAAGTGATAATTAGGAACATAACTTAAAAAGAAGTTGTGACTGAAAACCTTTTCAATAAATAATTTTGTTAAATTACTCCACTTAGATTTGTGTATAAAAGGTATCAACCCATTTTAAGGTAACTTTTTTAATTTTATGTCTAATAGGTCATTCAATTTTTAAATTTTTTATTAGATTATTGATGTCTAACATATTCCTGACATGTTTGACATTTAAAAAAATTATAGGATTTATTAGACCAAATTTTAATTTGATATCAAGTAAGATCCTAAACTTTTAATTTTGTATCTAATAAATGTATAAATTTTTAAAATTTTTTGAATAGTTTAGGACTTGTTTGGTTGGAAACTCGAATTCTGCACTGAATCAAATGAATTTAGTGAATAAGCATTTGACCGGATTTGAGAGATTTGTTTTTCTGTGATA